ACTATTCAATTATAACTATCCCGAAATGAGAAATTTTTCTGGTGAAACTTTGCCCACAGAGGTAGGTAATTCGGTGTCTTGATCACGAATATAGCACTTTTTCGGCGCTGGCGCCAAATTGGCGCCAGTTTTGTCATCGCCACGATGACCGTCCCCCCGACTCTTCGAGGCGTGGGCGTAGCCCCAAACCCCATTATATTGCTGCATAACCAGATAAAGGTTGACTGGTCACTCGTCTGTACTCAACTACAAAACCACTGAACCGCCAGTACATTTTGGTGCATCTGCCAAAATTTCTATTATACTATTCTCTAGGCAGTCTAAGAGTAAAAATCTTAGACTACTAGAACATATCACAGCTCGTAAAAAGAGCTAAAGTCGATCCAAATCGACGCCTCCTTTAACAAAAGGAGAAGAAAGGAAGTGCCCCCGTATTTATTACCAGGAGCCACCTTTTTCGCTAAATAACAGCGAATCCCTCCAGCAAAGGAGAAGAAAGGCAGAGTTCCCGTATTCATTACCTGGAACCACCTTTTTCGCAGAAAAGCGAATGCTCAAGTAGAGTAAATCGCCAAGTACAGCAGTACTAAAGGCCCCAACTTTTGCGAAGCAAGTTAGCACAAAGTAAAAAAAGATGGCTCTACACTTTTACAAGACACCCATCGCCTGAGCGCAATGACGCTCAAAAAACTAGTCATTAGGTATAAAGAATATACCGTTAGCGTTGAGTATACAAGCGCAGACGAAGAAAATTATGATAAGTGTCGATCCACAATAGCGCTCTTAGAAAGCGGGAATTCGGCAAATTAGAGAAGGCAGGGAAGACCTGCAGAAACTGTACAACGAGATCAGAGAAGAGTACAAGAACTGTAAAAACAAGTCAGATAAAAAAGACTTAATGCTCGAAATCGAGCAAATCTGAAGAAGAATCACAACTACAGCAAGCGATTGCTGATTCGAGTGACTTGATATTTATGGGTCAAGATGGACATACAACAGAATAGGCATCAAGCTAGGGTATACCACTTATAACTCAAGTAGAAACGAACCAGTACCGCATGAGTCAGAGTTTCAAAGCGGTCAAGGACGACTCTGAGCAAAATACCCACAGTAGCAAAGTTAACGTTACTAGTTCAAATAATGGTGAAAGAGAGCAAAGACAGGCGAAAATCACTCCAATGGACGGCTAAGGCGTTCTATAAATCCTCCTCACGCACCCTTCCCAAATTTTTCGGTAAAGCGGAAGAATTTCCCGAGTATTGGGCAATATTTGAGACACTAGTACATAAAAATGATGAACTAGATGTTGTGGAAAAAATTATCCTGTTGAGAGAAAGTCTTAGAGGGAGAGCTAGATCAGCTATCCAAGGAATTCAGCCTTTACCACAAAACTATGACTGGATAATCAAGACCCTTAAGGAGACCTACTGCGATTATTCAGTAAATAGATCGCAAATTGTTCAAAAACTCGTAAATATGAAAGGAGCGAACAATTTTGCAGACAGCTGCTCCGCAGTTTTGCACAAATTCAAGTTCTAGTTAACCAAATGGTTTCTGCAGGCTACGATGTTAGAAAAACCTGTGATCCTATATGGTGTGAAACCATTCTGTCCAAATTTCCAAGAAACATCGTCAAGCCTGTCCTCATATCTGGCCAAGCGATGCCACAACAAACAATCGAAAACCTCATGGGTCAACTGAAGAAAGAGGTTGCCGCAAAGAGCTACGTCGATAACAGACTTGGCCAGGCAATCGAGCCCAGATAGGACCATGCAATCAGCAACAAGGTGAACACTCAAAGGAGAAGTATATAAATCTACGACCCAACGATAGTGAAGGGTGTCTGTTCTGTCAGAGGGATGGTCATCTTTCAATGACATCCAGGACGACAACAGACAAAGCCACTCGTAGAAAAGATCACAAAGACCGAGATAGATGCTGGAAATGTTGTTTCTCAAATCATAATAGCTATGCCTGTCAAAGATTGGATTGAATACAATGCGGGCAAAAACACCACGTTTCTGTATGTTGCAATGTAGTGCAAGCAGCGGTGAAGAAATTAACAGAAATTCAAGTAGATCTTAACACCGCATCGGAGAACCGATCAAAGAGGTCAAAATCAGCAAAGGCCATACAGTCAACGAAATTGAGAATCTCAGCGATGTTAGTAGACCATCCTCAAAAAATACTCAAACATGGATCGAAAACAAAAAAGTCAATGGAACTGTTACCTCGCAGCTGATTTTAATGACTGCCGAGGGGAACATATGGATAACAAAAAAATGAATACGAGAAGGTAGTTTTTCTTTGACTCAGGAGCACAAAGAACCGTAATTTAAGAGTCTCTGGCCCTAAGCCTTTGGGCTACGAAGTCAAAGAACAGAGATAGTGCAGTGTCTGTTATCGGTGGCCACACCGGAAAATTCGAAAGCCACATCGTAAATGCCAAAATCGGAACAGCTTTCGGAGAGGAAATGGAAGTGACTTTTCAAACAACCAATCATAACTTTTGGTTTCCTCAGTGTTAATCTCACACCATCCGATACCAGCTTCTTGAAGGCGAATAGAATATCTCTCGCCAATTCCAAACTATCGCGGAGAACATCAAATACCGCACGTTCTCGTAGGATTAGATTATTTCCACGCTGCACATCCATTTTCGGACTAATCATCTACGGCGAAGAAATGATCCAA